GATAGGTATCGGCCGAGGCGATATGTAGCCCCGAAAGACGACAGACGCTACATAGAGCCGTATCGGAGGGGCCACTTCCTGACGCTTATTTCTTTTGCAGTTGACTATGCGCTCCCAACAGTCACACACTCGCACATTCGGCTGTGACACGGCATACGTACGTAGTAGTCATTTCCCCACAAGACCCTTCGAGTGGCACGGGAGTGGCCTCCAGGGGACCATGTACGACCCGCGAGATCGTCACGCCCCCAGGTCGTCTCTCGGACCCCCGGACTCGCGGCAGCCTCTCCCCACGCCAAGCGGCAACGTAGCGACATGCAGTACTCCGCCCCCCCCCAAGGAGCCGGCAGAGGTTGGCCAAGGACCGCGTCCCTCCGCTGCACTCCCTAGGAGCAGCGGAGGGCTGGGAGCAGCGGGGAGGGTTGCCAATGCCCACCCACCCGCCCGAGAACGAGTCCTCGAGCCGCCCCGGGTCGCCGCCCCCCCCCGCCCCTCCCCCCCTCCCCCGCCGCCCCCCTGGGCTCACGCGTGCTGCCGCTGCCGGTTCTGGTCCTCGGAGATGATGCGCAGCGCGTCCGCCTTGGAGATCGACTTGATGGTCGACGCCTTGTTGCGGTGCGTGACGCCGTAGAACTTGTCGCCCGTGTGGATGAGCTCGGGCCGGAAGGTGGTGGTGATGAACCTGCGCGGGGGTGAAGACGGCCGACCTCACGGCGGGGGAGGCGGCATTGCGCGGGGCCACCAGAGGTCCGCGTGAAGACGGGGGGGGAGACGGCCGAAGACGGCCGAAGACAGCGGAGTGCGTGTCCTCTCGAGCGCTCGTCGGGAGACACGAGTGCGTGCGCTTCTAGCGTGACGCGCTGCGTCGGCTCGGGGTCGCCCGACTCCTCGTTGACGCGCGACGCCTGCCGCTCGATCATCTGCGCGAGCGAGGAGCGGGGTTCGGGTACCGTGGGGGTAGGGGAGGGGTTCGGGTGCCGTTGGGGTAGGGGAGGGGAGAGTGCCTGCGCGAGCGAGGAGCGGTGCGCCGCGTCGAGGTTGGCGTCGATCTCGTCGAAGATGTAGAAGGGGGCCGGGTCGCACCTTGCCGGGGGGCGAGATCGGGGAAGCTGCGGCGAGAGGCGGCATGAGAGGAGTGAGAGGCGGCAGTGAGAGGGCAGCAGCAGAGGAGGGCAGCAGCGGCGAGGTCGCCTGCGCCAGCTCGCGCCGCGCCTCCGCCTCCGCCTCGGCGCGCGCCTGCAGGACGGCTCCAGGAAAGGTTCCAGCAAGGGTCTAGGAGAGGGCCTCCGCCTCCGCCTCGGCGCGCGCCGCGCTGTCGGCGCCCTGCTGCTGCGCCTCCATCTCCAGCCGCGCCGCCTCCTCGAGTTGCTGCTTGTGCGCCTGCAGGAAGGTTCCAGGAACGGTCGAGGAGCGGTCGGGGAGAGGGCGCCTGGCTCCTCGATGCCGCTGCGCGTGCGCCTTCGTGAGCGACTTGACGCTCTCCTGCAGCACCTTGAGCGCGGACACCGCCGCCGCGAGCGTGCGCTCCGTGGTTTGCACCGCGCCCTTGGCCGCCTCCTCGCGGGCCTGCTGCGCCTAAGGTAAGGTACGGTACGGTAAGGTAAACTTCTCCACACACACGAGGTGGTGGGGCAAGGGCCAGGCAGCCCTCGCGTCTCCACGTCTAACGACAGGAGCCCCACGGCATTCAAAGTGTGTGTGTGTGTGTGTGTGTGTGTGTGTGTGTGTGTGTGTGTGTGTGTGTGTGTGTGTGTGTGTGTGTGTGTGTGTGTGTGTGTGTGTGCTGCGCCTTGCCGCTGCTGTCGCCGCCGTCGCGCTGCCTTTGTGCGTCCAACTTCTGCAGCGCCTCGCGCGCCTTGCGCTGCTCCTTGTCGTAGTACGTGTACTCTGCAACCTTGCGCCGCTTGTCGAGGGCCTGGTACGCGGCGAGCTCCTGCGGGCGGGGGGAGAGTGCGGGGAGAGTGCGGGGAGAGTGCGGGGAGATTGAGCCTGATGTTTCTGCGG